CTTGAAAGAGTGACAGTCACATCCACCCAGGAGATGCTTGTCACAGCTCCGAAGCTATTCTTCATTGCAGACACTCCTGGACATTCATTGAATTGCACTAGTGAACCCAAAGCTAGGAACAGTTTCACGGAAGAGCCATCAGCTGACTTGGGAGATGCTGTCTTCTGAAGCACAACTGGGCGGGAATCTCTCCCCAGCATGGTCATTTGGGATAGGTTGCAGGCGAGGAGGCCGCTCACTGCCGAGGAGCTCTACCGGGCTCTACCGTCCTGCCCAAGGAATGACGACCGGACATTGGCAGAACCCATAGAAGCACACCGATGAGCACGGCTCCTGTCCAGGCCGAACAAGCGAAGTACCACCGTGCAAGCTGGCGCTCACGGGTCGCTCCCTCGCATCTGTCCAGCTTCCGAAAGCGCTTGAAACGGGAACAATTGTTCAGCAACTGGCAGCAAGCCCTTCACCAAAGCTGCTTGTTCATCTTCCAGATTGTTTGGTCTTCGCCCGAGCTGTGACCGCACCGACCGTACCCATGCATCCAGCACGGCATCGTGTTCCTCGAAAAGAGTTCTGAGGCCATCGCGGTACCCGCCCCTAAGTCATCACTTGAAGAGAAAGACGCCTTGATCGGCGAACATCTCCCACACTAAAAGTCTGCGACCACATCCTCAATTGCGATCACTTGTGATCCGGGAGCAACCCTCCCTTTGCAGCTCGCTTTAGAAGATCTCACAACATAAGAGACGGTGCACTGCGTTCACGAGACAACGACCCACGTAGCAGCGGCACTTTCTTGCAGGCGCAAAAGTCGGCCCACTCCCAGGCGAGTGCTTTAGAGACCAAGCGGCCAAGCGGCGGAACTTGTTGCCCGTGACAATTCCACGCACGCTCCCATGTGACTTGTGTGTGTTGCCCCTACAAGTGTACATGTGCTTCCCAATAGCTTGTTGGAAGAGGGACGCTGGTCTCGCCATTGTGTTGGTAGATGCTGGTTGCACGTTGTGAAGATCCAATGTGTTCTCAATGATGTTGGCCCGACACAGCTGGGAGACTATGCAAGCGATTGAAAACAGTGCCACCATGCTCGGTCTTAGGTGTTTCTGCAAAATGTCGTGTACCGAAGATCGTTGGTGTAAACACCTGTCAAGAGGCCAGTGTTGCGTTTAGAGCAAGCTGTGTCACCTGCATGGGGCGTGTATCTACGAATGTCACCGACTCAGTGTTGCTGCTGCGTGTGCACAATATGTCCAGCACTGAAAGCAAGGTTTCGAAAACGAAGGGAACGCAAGACACCAAAGACGGCACAGGCATGTTTTTCGTCAATGAAGAGGTGTTGACTGCGCACAGCGTGGCAGCGGCAGGACTCCTGCTCGTTGAAGATTACGCCCAAAGCGCAGGCACTCATCTGAATGTGGTTGTTTGGAGAATGCTCCATCCTGTGGACGTATGCAGAGTATTGTAAATGGTTTTCTGCGTTTGCATGGAGAGAAGTAGTCTAAGAGAGAGGGAGGAACGAGGGTACAGGACACAGATGAGCAAAAGAACATGAACAAGACTGGACACAGAGTGTGAGTGCAAATGGATCCATCACTTCAAAGTTCCTTCTGTGAATACACAAGGAAGGGAAAGCGAGAAACAAGAAAGGCTGTTATTCGGTAATGCCAAGTGTTCTTGAACAAATGTTGGATGCACGGAGGTCTTTGAGTATGAATCCCAGATTGGCGCACATCAGGGGGAAGGAGCTGTGACCATGAACGTGCGCCATGTCTGTGTCTCTGTGTATGTCTGTCTGTACTCTGTCAGCCTGTGAGCCTGTCAGTCAGTCAGTCAGTCAGTCAGTCTGTCTGTCTGTCTGTCTGTCTGTCTGTCCGTCTATCTGTCTGTCTGTCTGTGTTGTGCGCGCACGCACACATGACCATTGTCAGTCAGTCAGTCTGTCTGTCTGTCTGTCTGTCTGTCCGTCTATCTGTCTGTCTGTCTGTGTTGTGCGCGCACGCACACATGACCATTGCAGGATGCTCCTGGGACAGCGCGCCTTGCCAGCAAAACGCAAGACAACATGTCTTGCAAACAACTTGACACTAGCGCAGAGTGCAACAAAGGCACAGATGGGTTGCCATCAATTTTCCCATGACGGCGATCGCTCCGGTTTTAACATTGAGAGACTCTGCATGACAGCATGGGGCATTGGTCGGAGCTGGGCACTTGCAGGCAACCGGTGTAACTGTGCTGTAGGGCTCCTCGCCTGCATCGGTTTGCAGCGGTAAGCATGTGCAACAACATGCCTGCCAATGCCATCGCGTTGGAGACTTGACATCGGGGCCCTTTGCGGCTTCGCCCTGGTCGTTGTGGTACGACAAGATGAGGAGCATTAGGATGACGCCTTCGCAAGTGACCATACGACTCTATGTGCACTTTGGGCAACTTAAAACAGCACACACCCCAGACAGGTGTAAGGCGTCTTGTTCAGTGTAACAGCATTTTACCGCAAAGCATCATGGCCGGTGCCACATGCACGTTCCGTAGGAAGAAATGCATGAAAAGAAGTTCTGCAAACATATCTTTGTGACGGGAAGAACCAACGACCGACTGGCAGAGCAAACCAAGCAACTACAAAGTGCATTCTGGCAGAGTGGCAGCCGGCAGCTAAAGCAGCTGTCGTCCAGCACTGTCGTGGCATCGCTCCAGCACCGACTCAAGCTTCATGTTAAGATCCTGATTGGTGGTAAAGCAGCAATACTGCCCACCGTGTGCCGTCTTTCGCCATGACGTGTACATGACCACCTGCACCTCAGGTTCGCACATGTGTGAGCAAGCGACACGGGCATGTGAACAAACAGAACAGCGCGTGTGCAATACACCCTGGCATTCGAGCGAAGATCCGACCATGTGTCGGTACGGCCACTGTCACACTATGCTGTGCACTATGCTGTGCATTTTGTTGCATACTCTCGCCAAAAAAGCCTGTGCCATCTTTGCTGTACGTGTGTGTGAAACTGAAGGGACCCCACGCCCATGGAATGTGAAGATTTTCAACCAATTTCTATTCTCCACATTGTCCACATGCTCATGTTTTTGGCACAAAGAAACCAATGAGGAGCTTCAGAAAGAGCGGTAAGACTAGAGCTCCCGCTTGAGGGGCACGGCCCGAGAGGCTAAGGCCGGCCCAGGAGCGAATCGACGGAGCCCCCAAAACCCAAGGGGGGAAGAGCGGCAGATTCTGCATCAGCTGCAGAGCACGCGCCAGTGCAAGCAGAGCTTTGCACCAGTGCAACAAGGAGTTCTGATGCGTGTCAGCAGCGTTCTCGTCTCGCCATGTCTGATCCAGCTGTTTCTGTACCCGTGCAGATCAGCGACGGCCTGAAGCTGGCAGCCTTGGCCCCACAGATACGGAGAGAACGTTGTTGGTAGTAGCTTTGATAAGGTAAGCAAGGACACGGGCTCGAGAAGGCACCGGCGGCTCGCCGGCTCGGAGAGGCGAAAGAAAAGCAGCCAAGCAAGGAGAGTGATGGCAGGACAGCCCGGCGACCTGCAGCGCTCCAAACCTGCGGGGCAAACACGACACGACCCCGGCTCCGGGGCAATACGTCCGGTGGCCCGGAGTCGTCCTTCACCCCCCTTTTTTTTGTGCCTTTCGCTTGGTGTTTCTCTCCGAGGTTTGGAGGGATGACGTGCATTTGCGGAAGAAGCCGGTTTGGAGCATGATGTCGCCTGACAGGACGCTCTGTCATTTGCAACAGATGCCTGTGTGCGGTGCTTGAGCTTCTTGAATTTCGAAGGAGAAATCTGGATTTGATGCCTTGGCCTCAGCGGCTTGTGAATCCGATTCACCGGGGTGGCTGTGTGCGATTGCGGATTGGCGAGGCTGGGAACTTGGACCCCAGCTTCCCGGTCGCTTCAGTCAGAGCCTTAGTGAAGCTCTGCCACCGAAACGAACCTTTCTGCTGCTGCCAGAGGCCCCGTGCTCCGGATCCGGGAGAGTGCCCTTTGAAGCCGTGCTTCTCCATCGGCCCTGTCGGTCCTTGCACAGGTACGGTGCTGTGGATCGCTGTGGCCGCAACGGCGTGCAACGGCCTTCATCGGCTTAAACCCCGCAGCCGCAGCCAGAGGAGTGTGGCGGATTGCAAGGTTTACAAGCCCGAAGTGGTCCCAAGCGAGATCCAGTGGGCCGCAGCCTCGCCGATTCGTGTTTTCTTTTGGTGCTCCCTTCGTCTTTGCCTGGCTGAGGCGACCTTGCTTGGCTCAGGATCCGCCGGAAGTCATCGAGATCGAGCCAGGGCCTTGTAGAGTGAGGGGCCGTGCCGCCGGGATGCTTCGGCTCGCGTGCGGAGCTCGCGTGCGGACCTGGCGTGAGGAACAAGCTGCCCTCCTCCTTCGGCGGCGAGAATCCCCTCCATGCGCTGCTGGCATCTTTGAGGGGTTCGCCTCCAAATGTCTGCGATCTTTGTGTGGCAGGCTTGGCCTCCGAAGTGGTCCGTCTTTGGCAAGGCCTTTGCGGCGGCGACTCGGAGTGAGAGCGTTGAGAGCCTAGACGGAGACCGAGGATCGCTCGCAGCTCCCGCCTAGAGCCCAGAACCGATAGCTCCGAGTCCCCCAGGACCAGGACGTGCGGCCGTGTGCGGCTCGGCCGTCCGTGCGGCCGTCCGAGGCACGACATCGGGACCTGGACGCCCAAGCCCAACACGGATGTGCGTCCTGGCCCAGGCTCCGCAGGGCGCAGAGGGAGGGAGGGAAGTTTCTTGTTGCATGGCTGGGGTGACGCTCGGGGCGCTGGCTTTGTCCTCCATTGCTGCAATGCGTTTTTGTGAGGATCAAGCCGCACAGCACCCATTGAATCACACGTCCACTCCACTTGCCGCGCACAGCTCGCAAGTTTGTAAGTTAGGCCGGTTAGGCCCGTGGAGTTTCTGCGCCATTTCTGCTGGGCTTTTGGGCAGCTGGTGGGTCACCCTTTTCTACTGTAGTGGGGTTTGGTTTTGCGCGCAGCCGCAGCCGCCGCGATGGGCTGCGGGACGAGCGCGCCCATCGAGCCGGAGCCACCGGAAGAGGTGGTCTCCGCCACCGCTTCCCGCAACGCAGACAAGAAGGCGGGCAGACGGGGCAGACGGCCTCCCGGAAAGAGATCTCCTCGACAGCTTTGTGCTGCAGGCGGCGCAGCTTGAGAACAAGGAGCACTCGCTCTTGCGACTTGAGTTCAAGAGAGGAAGACTGGCAGAGCGTTGCTGCAGGAATACCATGCGCGAATGAAGTTCCTTTCGGAAGTCCCGCTCATGAAGCGCTTGCCCAAAGATGAGCACCCCATTGTGGCAGAAGCTTGCGAGGCCGGGGTCTCCGCTCCTAGAGTGGCGCACGGGGCGTCAAGAGCTGGGATTGAGTCCCCGAGGTTTGCATCTTCGAGCCTGGCCACAAGATCATCCAGCAGGCGGCTTCCACACGCAGAGCATGGGAGTGTGCCAATCAAAAATGCAGGGCCTTGTTTCCGTCAGGGTGACAACGGCGATGCCTTCTATGTGGTTCGGACGGGGGAAGCCAGTGTCCACTTGGAAAACGAGGATGGCAAGAAGCAGGTGGCGACTCTCAAGGCCGCTCCGACGGCTTTCTTTTTTGCGGCTCTTGTCCTTTTGCACGGGGCGGCAGGGTGGAGATTATTTCGGAGAGAATGCCCTTCTTCGGGATGAGCCACGACTTGCTCCCTGGATGCAGATCGTCCCTTGGGTCTGAGAGCGGAAAACGCGGCTGCTATCCTGCTGGCTGCTAGGCCACCATCATCGCGGAAAGCAAGCTCGTGGCTTTGCGAATTACCCGAGAGAAGTTCGAGGCGCGCGCGCGCGCGCGCGTCGAGCAGTGCAGGTAGCAGACGTCGCAAGTGCACGTGTTTGGTACACCTCCTTATGTCCTCTCCTCTTGTCTTTTCCAGAGGAGCTGGGCCTGAACAACAAGCTGATGTTTGCGAACCGGAAAGCTGTTGCGGGTGGCCTGCAGATGCAAGCGATGCCCAGCCGCACCGATGAGAAGCGAAAGGCCCGTGCTTAAAGGAAGTTCTCAGCCCTGTTCCTGAGGAAGGCCAAGCCTCCGACCGAAAAGACGGAGGAGGATGTCGTGCCTCGATTACGCTCTAGCAGCCAAGAGATTGCGCTCTAGCCGCCCCTGTCAGCTCTCAGTCGCCTTTCGAGCAGAGGTCCTCATCACCCGTGCTCTACAAGAGAATGAGAACCTCGCCACGATGACAGCCCTAGATGATGCGAGGCTCTGTGGCAGCTTCCGTTCCGCGAGGAATTAAGCCACCTTGCCCGCCTGCAGGCTCAAGTCCTTCATTGATGTGATGTGGAAAGAGGAGGTGAAGGCTTGGCTCACATCATTGAGTCGAATGTCAGCATGGCATAGCGTGCGGCGGGGTGTCGCCTCGGCAGGAAGACGAACAGATCATCACAGAAGGTGACCTGAAAGCCGATTTCTTCTACATCGTGCCGCTTGGAATGACTGGGGTGACTCTAGGGGTCCACGGAAGCTTCGCCGAGCCGCGAAGCGCTGAGCCCCGAGGGCTTCCGGGGAGTTCGACGTGAAGATCGCGGAGCCTTGGCCTAGGTCAGCCTGCTGTCGCCTGCAGGCTGTCGAGGAGTTCTTTTTGACGAGCGGGGGTGTCTCCTCACCTTGTACGGTTTCTTTGGGGATTCTCCTTGGGTGCGTGGGTCCACGGCCTTCCTCTTGTTCTTCTTTTGGAGCTGAAAGCGGGACGATGCAGCATAAAACAAGTTGTGAGGAAACCGACGACGAGGGCAATCCGAAGGCTGTGATGGAGAGCAGCGCGTCCAAGAGCGTGACTCACGTCACGGCAGGCAGGAGACCCCTCTTTTTGCCCCATTGGCCTTTGTGGAGCTGTGGACCTGAGAGGTGGCAGCTTCGGAGAGCTGGCTTTGATGTACTTCGTCCCAAGGGCGGCCACCGTGGTGGCCACCACGGACTCTGAGGTTTGGGTCATCGTGGCTCGGAGTGAAAGCGACCTTCTCGGCGCTCCTTCCCTAAATGCCCTCACGCCGACGCTGAACGTTAGGCCCGCTAGGCGATGGGATGTGTGAGCTTCGGTTTGGATGATGCTGAGGGGTTTCCGGTTCCCCCTTCTGACTGTCCTTATCGGGGCAAGCGGGAGCCTGCCTCGCTTGGTCACCGAAAGCGCTTCGAGGATCGGGCCAACTTCAAGAACATCTTGATGAAGGCGGGGAAGAGCCGCCTTCCACCGCTGCGCAGAGAGAAATGGAGAGAGAGAGAGAGAGAGCTCTGCTGTATAGTGTCTCCCCGAAAGCCCCAGAACGTTGGGGGGCCCTACGGGCCGGGGAGCCTGACAAGCTCCCTTAACCTGAAGAAAGAAGAAGAAGCTCTGCTTTTGTCGGCTTTGTGTGTCAGAGGCCTCCGACTCCAGGATCAAGGCCCGGGCCCGAGGAACAAGCGAGAAGAAGGGGGAACCCCAGCCCTTCAGCTTCCTTCCCTTCGCCTCGGCTCCGAGGAGTACGTGAAGTACTTGGATCAGGTCTCGGTCTTGGACAGTTTATTGGCCGAAGAGAAGAAGCAGGTCGCCAACGCACTCGTGGAGCTCCTTGGCCAGGGCTTTCTTTCTTCCGCCTGCCGTCGTCGCTCCTCGTCGCTCGCTTCTAAGGATGCATTTCGAAAGAAACGATGTCATCATTCAGCAAGGCGAGCCTGGCAACATGTCCCTCCCCCAGCTCAGAGAAACGAAGGCTCGACTGCGTCTTCGAAAACGTGCATGTGTTTCAGGTTCTACATCATGTATGAAGGAGAGGCGGCGTGGCAGCAGAGCCCACGTGCCCAAGGGTGCCTCTAAGGGCGGTGATGTAAGGCAATGTAAGGGTTCATGCCCGCGGCATCCGAGGTGGAGATTGTCAAGGACCACACCTTGCAGTTCGCTCTGGCGCCACGAAACGTCGTGTAGCACGGTACGGCATCTAGCATTTGCCAGAATGGGCCGCACTGCCTGCGCCGCAGCTTTGAGCAGAGCTGCCAGCCCTTTCAGAGACAGAGATTCAAAGCGATAGAGACTCAGCGACTTCCTGGGGCTGTAGACCCAGGCGGAAAGGCGGTGGTAAGCGACTGCAGACACGTGCGCAGGACGGGGACGCAGTGGCAACGCTGGAAGCCAGGATAAAAAGCGGTCGTTCGGCTTCGAAAAAGCAGAACCCTAGTTGTTTGACCAGCCTGGCGACACCGGTGACTGTGACGCTTGGAAGTCTCAGGAACTGCGCAGTTCTTTGGAGAGAAGGCTCTCCTGGAGAACGAAAACCGCACTGCGACGGTGGAGCTCTCAAGACGTGCGACCTCACAAAAGCAGCGCCGCAACCCTCCCTCGGCTGAAATGGAGTGTCGCGCTCCGAGGTGGCCGTGAAGAGCTCTTCAGCCAAGTGCCTCGTCTTGGACCGCGAGTCCTTCGATCTCCTCTTGGGCCCTCTGAAGGCGCGACCAGAAGAGCCCTCGCTTCGCTTCGCTTCGCTTCCTTGCCCTGGGTGTTTCCCTCTGAGGACATCATCGATGCCGTCCGCGAGGGTCGGGAGCGGCCGCAGCACACCGCGGCGAACCCGGCGGAGAACGGCCGCCCATCTGCGAGTCGAGCTTTAGACACCGGTTGCACACGGAATGCACATGGTTGCACGGTGTTTCTGTTGCTCAGGGTCCCTGGCCCAGAATCGACAGCGGATCCGACGGAGCGAGCTGAAGCGCATCGGCTTGCTGGGCTGCGGCGGCTTCGGGGCCGTGGAGCTCTGGGAGCACGCCAAGACAGGCTGACGGGTGAGGGCACATGGTGAGGGGTCCGGCAGCTCCGGAGAACGTCGAGGAGCTCCGGAAGCGGCGGGAAGTACTCATACCGTACTCCCGCTCCCGCCTTGCGAGGCGACTCCTATGCTCTCAAAGCCATCAGCAAGGGCTACATTGTCAAGACTGGTATGCAAGAGAGCTGCTCGGATTGGAAGCCGTGATCCGCAGCAGAGTAGTCACCGGAAACTGCATGGCCCAGGCATCATGAACGAGAAGAACATCCTAGCAACTGAGCTCTAAATGTGCTCTTGTGCACATGACTTCCTGTTGATGAGTAGACCGATTGCCCGTGGCTTGGAGGCAATGACCAACTCCTCCTTTATTACGAAACTCTACGAAACCTTCAATGGGACGCAAACGCTTCTCGGCGAAAGTGTCATGCAGAGGGCGGAGCACGGCAGCAAGGCGGAGCGAGGCGGAGCGAGGCGGAGGCGTGCTGTGCATCCCAGGCTTTACTTCCTCCTGGAGCCATGCCTGGGTGGTGAGCTGTATGCCACCTACATCCGGCACCTCGAAGCACAAGTTTGAGGGGTCCCAAAGACAAAGAGAGGGGAAGCTAAGACCTATCCGCTGTTCTGGCCTGCCCGCATCTTTAAGGAAGGGCCTCTATGGCTCCGACAAGCACTGCAAGCGTGGGCCTTTGCTGGGGGGCATGGCATTGCTTCAAGTGCTAGTGCTGCCTTGATTAGCTACTCTAATGAGGGCTATGACAATCGTTAGGCTGATTGGCATCGTGATGACACTATAGTTACCTCGATGACTGAGGTTTTACACGGGCTCGGTTGTTTTTGCCTTTGAGCACATGCACCAACGCCGCATCATCTACAGAGAAGCTCAGCTGCTACATTCGGTTCAGGCTTCTTTGCTTCTCTCCCTCCTCCCGGAACCCCTAACACCATGTTGGACAAGAGTGGCCACAGGTCTCAGGACAAAGTGGACGAAAAGCTTTGATGTTGGGTTTGTTAAATCTGGAGTCAAGAGCGGGCTGCGCTATGCCACACCCTAGCCCTAGACTCGAGACATCTCTTTCCAGACAGAAGCTGACAGGCGTGCACGAATCCTTGGGTCGTTCTTCTCCTTGCTCTGCTTGCTGTTGCTCCTGCGGCCTCCGACGAACATTCTGTGCAGATCAGACGCGCAAGTGCAAGCAAGCCCCTGGCGGCCAGCCAACTACGCAGGGGATGTGCTTCACGTCCTTTCATCACAAGCTTGCGTTCTTGAAGCTACCGCCCAAGGACTTGAAGCCGGAGAACCTCCTCCTCGCAGAGGACGGCTTCATGAAGCTGACAGACATGGGCCTGGCCAAGTTTGTCCTCACCTCGGCTCCTCTTGGAGTTTTGCATGTGCAAAAGAGCGAGATCTCGAGGTCGTGGGTAAAACCTACACGACGTGTGGGACTCCCGACTACTTCGCTCCTGAGCTTATTGCATCCACGGGGCACACCAACGCTGCTGGCGGCTCAAAGGGGCCCTTACAAACCCACCGAAGACATCCGCTGGCTGGGGTGGTCTCTTGCTTGATGCGAGGTGGATTGGTGGACCCTTGGCATCCTGATCTTCGAGCTCATGTCACTCGAAGCACTAGGGAGCCCTCTTTCTGGGCTTTTTGCTCAGCTTCGGGTTCGCTGAGGTCAGGTCATCCGCCTTTTGAGTCGGCCTATCCCATGCCGCGCACCTACACACGATCTCTTCTTTGCTCTTTTGTTTGTCCTGTCACGGTTTGGTGTGACGCATGCGACGGCCTCGCACGCCAAGGCAGATCTATGCAAAGGTCACCAAAGGGATCGGCAAGGTCGCTTTTCCGATGCTCGGCTTGTGTCAGGGACCTTCTTGCATTCTTCGCACGACGGCTTTGGCGGATTAAGGAGCGTGATGAAGGGACACTGTAAGAATCTTGTGGAGTCTCAGCTGCAGCGAGCTGGTGACGGGAAGGGAAGAGGGGAGGGCGCACGGAGACGCCTCGCCGCTGTGCTCAGGAAAATCTCCTGAAGAACGACCCCTCGGATCGACTGGCCATGCGAAAACATGGAGCGGACTCCTAAGCGGACGCTTCAGGAGCCAGACACGGAGCGGTGGTCTTTGCCCTCTGCGCCCAGGTGGCCAACGTGAAGTCGCACCCTTGGTTCGAAGACATGGACTGGGATCGCTTGGAGAGCCCAGGCAGCAGAAAAGGTGCCAGACCGGTTCCGGTGTGGGAGGCTCTCTCTCGCGCTCTCTGCTCTCAGGAGGATGGAGTGCCAGGTGCCGTACAAGCCGGCCGTCCGAAGCCGGAAGGACCTCTCCAACTTCGTGGCCAAGAAGGAGGACGCCCCGAAAACCCTGGAGCTGCTCGGCCAAGCTTTGAGCTTTGGGCACGCCCTCCGCCTGTCCGGCCTCCTCCGGCCTCCTCCCCTCCCTTAAGGTATATCGATCCAGGAACCGGATGGGACAAGGATTTCGCGACCTCATACTGAGTTCCTCGAGGCGCAAAAATAGATGTGGAAAGAAGCGAGGGTGTCGGGGAAGAGAGTTTGTGCTCAGGATGGCCTGCGAATCGCGAGATCCTCTTCTTTTTCGTGCATGTAGTAATTGTAGTATGCCGGAGCTGCAAGACTTCCTGCGAATCGTCGCTGCCTCTTCAGCTGTAGGGTACGATATGGCGGTCCGGGGAGCTAGATGCAGAGGTTCTGCAGCAAATTCGCAAAGACCGCGCCTTCGCCGAAGGCAGAAGCCCGTGGTCTGGTTGGCTGCAACGCGACACGTTAGTGACAGCGCCAGGGAATGACTGGACAACCACAGTGCCCCAGCGGCCCAGCATGCCCCAAGCACACCTTCGCCTTCCTCTGGACGTCCATGTGCTCCAGTCCTGGCGGGGAAAGACCAGAGCCGACCAAGTCGACGTACTGGAGCTTCTCTCGTTTTTCTGGAAAAGTGACAGAGAATCATCCGTTTGCGAGATCGACTGCAGCACAGAAGGAGAACCTCTGGTCGCGGCGACTGTCACAGCAGGCGCTTACAACCTCGATGGCCCTCCGGGGCAGATCCGAAAGAGTCGCTGGAAGGCCGGGCCGGGTTTTGGAAGCTCTGCGCTGCTCTCTACTCCCCCCTCTCTTTTGATCGTGAGGCGACCACGCGGAGCGGCTGCACCTGGGGGCGGCGCCTGAAGAACTTGCATCCCGAGGCGAGCCGGAGAGTTGGCAGAAGGAGGGCGGGGCGTTTTTTTTTTTTTGTGTCGAGGAGCGCGCCTACATCACCCAGACCAGCGGAGCACGCATGAGCCGGGGCCTCCTTTTGGTGGAATATGCCTTTCCTGTCTCTCACCCGCGTGGGGGCGCGCGCAGCGCGCTGGCTACGGCGAGTGGATGCGCTATCGACCAGGTGCGGGGGTGGGGGGGGGGGGGAAGAGGGCCGGCCCTTGCATCTGTCTTAAGAGGGGGCGTTCTGTCGCCTCGCCGAGGTGAATGAGGCCACCGCGGCCCCTTCCTCACGCATTTGCCCGTTCTCTTGCTTAAAGCAAGAAGCGGTGCCCTCGCCCTTATTGCGACTCAGTGTGCTGTCACTGCCGGACCGTCTCACCCCGCTTAAGACACTTCAAAGGAAGGCAGGTCAGCAGCGTGCTCCTGAGTGTGTGTGGGTCACGCAAACCTACGCAGAGGGCCCTGGCTTCAGCGACTCCGCGACGGATGCTGTCTCGCCTGGAATTTGGGCTCCAGCCTCGTCAGCGCAGTCACTCCCAAAGCAGCTAAACATCTTGTCACCCGGCCGCGTTTGATTTGCCGTGTCGGCCCCCTCGAGACGAGATCCCTCTCTCTCCCTCTCTCCCTCTC